ATTCTGGTAGCTTGCCTCACAACCCCATGGGAAAAATGAACTGGCGCTGAAGAGGTTAAATATTTCAGTGTATTACACAAAATTCTATCAGTTTAAACAATAATCTGGTCTTCCTGCTTCAAGCATGCATATTTACAGAGTCAAAATAACACAATATTATACTGTTTTACAATTTATTTGTTGACACTCATTTTCCTTTTTTTTTTCAGCGAATCATCATTCAGGTAATTTTAAATATAGTCTTTTTACATTGCTGCCCTCTGATTACACACTGTCGCCACTTACTGTTTATATATGGGAATTGTTTAAGATGATTTCTGGGTTTAAACCAGTAAAAGAGTTACTCCAAGCACCATGATCATTTCAGTGTTTTAAAGTGGTCATGGTGCTTGTAGTCTATAAGTGCAGCATTTTTTAGTTTGAAGCGTTGCACATGCAGAGATATTTTATTTTGTTGCCAGAGATGTAACTCATCAGTATTATTATGGCATCATTAGCCATCCTGGAACAAAAGGCAATTTTGTGCAAAGATTCCTTTAGAGTCATATGATGGTATGACTCTGGTCTTGTGAGTTCAATTATTCTTCTTCTTACTCCATATCATTTTATAGACATACTACGCTATTTTGTTTGTATTTAATTTTGTTTTACAGATTATTCAAAATTTGATACAGCTCCGCATATTGCTTTATATGTATTTTTATGTATTTATAGTGGTGTAGGGGATACCACTTTTTAGGTGTACTTGAGCTGTTTTTGTCTTCTTTCTCCCACACCGTGTACATATTCTTTTGTTTTGAGTATCCCTTTAACTCTTACAGTTAACTACTAAGGAGTAGATAATGAATGTTACATTTTTTTTAAAATACTCAGAAAAAAATAAAGACTCACTCAGAATTATTATTATTGGTATTTATATACTGCCAATATATTCCACAATGCTATTTAACCTTTCAGGGAATGGTAGATTGATTGAGAGCATAGGTCACAAATTCTTTTAACACCCATATCTATCCATAATTTCAACGACAACCATGGGGATAAGATCTCCAACGTTTCTAAAGGTGCATGCGCACAAACTTTTTTGTCTTCAGGTCGGTTAGATCTGAGAGTGTCCCATACCTTCAATGTGAGGGCAGATGTAGGACATTTGTGTTTGGGCGGTGTGCCTTTGGTGACCACAAGATGCTTGGTAGAGGAGTTGGGTGTATCTTGTCTTGTTCCATATCTGCCCATTGGGAAGTATTCTTGGGAATATGAAGTTGTATGGCTGACTCGAGGATGGCGCTCTGTAGTAGGTCATCAGTTTCGGAAGGCCCAAGCCTCCTTCTTTTGGGTTTAGTTGAAGGAGTGATAGGGATAAGCATGGTTTCATGCCTCCCCACACAAACTTGTTTAGTGTGGTCTGGACGGTTTTGAATAGTTGTAGCGGAACCTGTAAGGGTAACATCCTGAAAACATACAGAATCTTTGGTAGCACAACAATCTTAACTGTGTTCAGTCTCCCCATCCAAGACAGGTGCACATCTCTCCATTTCTGGAAGTTAGAGTTACATATGTTCGTTAGTGGAGCATAGTTGAGGGATATCATTTTCTGTCTACGTAGTGCTAGTTTAACTCCCAGGTATGTGATGTAGGATTGTCTCTTATCGAACTGATATGCGTTGAGTAATTTTTGAATTTGTTGCATCGGTATATTAATTGATAGAGCTTGTGTTTTAGTCTTATTAAGTTTGTAATATGACACCTGACCATAAGCTTATAAGATGGCCAGAAGCTGCGGAAGTGATGTCTCCAGTTTGCTAAGAGACAATAAGATATCGTCTGCGAATATTGATAAGCAGTATTCGTTTGACTGGATTTGGATTCCCGAGATCAATGGGTCTTATCTGATTTTGTGAGCTAGTGGCTCTAGTGATAGTATAAACAAGAGTGGGGATAACAGGCATTCTTGCCTCATGCCATTGGTAAGAGTAAAGGGCTTTGAGACAAAACCGGAGTTGGAAACTTGTGCTGATGGATTACCATATAGCGCCGAAATGTCCAGTATGAGCTCCAGTGGAAAGCAGTATTTGGTTAGGACTGTCGACATGTAGGCCCAGTTGAGCCTATTGAAGGCCTTCTCAGTGTCTAAGGCCAGAAATAGGCTTTCTGTACCCTGTCTCTCTACGTGGGATAATATATATTTAGGATTTCCCTAGTGTTGTCGCAGCCTTGCCTGCCTTTAACAAATCCTGACTGGTCATTATGTACAATATGGGATATTATCGTGGCTAACCTATTCTATGATTTTAGCGTATAACTTGGTATCATAATTTAATAGGGATATGGGTCGAAAATTAGGGCAGTGCATGGGGGGGTCTACCTGCTTTGGTAGTGTGGAGATATGTGCTTTCAACATATCATTGGGCATGATGCCTGTTCTAAAGCAGTGGTTAAATAGGTCGGTCATATGAGGAGCCAGGATGTGTCTAAACGTGTGGTAATAGAGGTTGGTGAACCCGTCAGGCCCAGGTGATTTATGTTTTGGTAACTGTGCTATGGTTCGTAGTACTTCTTGAGTCGTGAAAGGTTTGGTCAGTTTTTTGCCCTCTTCGGTCGAGAGGGATGGTAGCTGAACATCTCGTAAGAAGTCATCAATGTCACTTTGCTGGGGGGTGGGGGAATCACTGGCAACTGCCAGGTTATACAATTTGCTATAATATTTACTGAATTCTTCCATTATGTCTTGTGGATTGGTAATATTATGGCCTGCTTCTGAGTGGAGGAAGTCTTTTTTTTTTTACATTGGAGTCCTCCTCTTAATCTGTAATGCTAAAACTTTGCCAGCCCTGTTACCGTCTTTAAAAAAATCATGTTTCATTTCAGTGAGGAGATATGTAGTCTTAGCTAGGTCCATGTCTTTCAGACGGGCTTGGAGTTGGAGAATTTTTATCGTGGTGTCATATGAGGGAGATCTCTTATTTGTGTGAGTGAGTATGGCCAGTTCTATTAGAGTGTTAGTTTATGTTAGGAGGTATTGTTTTTTATTATAGCTAGCGTGTTTGATAAATTGGCCCCTAAGGGCCGCTTTGTGTGCTTGCCATAAGGATTCTACCATCACCGCTTCAGTGTTATTGAGCGAGAAATATGTTTCTAGATCTGCCTGGAGTTGTGTAATCAGAGTATGGTCTGTCAAGAGAGTGTCGTTTAGACGCCAAGTACGATTGCCAATTACAGGGTGTTGCATTTTGGTTGTCATTGAGATGGGGGTATGATCAAACCACGTGATGTTTCCTACATGTGTCTTTATTATTTTTGGTGCCTGGGATTTGGGCATTAAGAACATGTCTATACGGGAATATGTTGTGTGGCTCAGGGAGTGGTAAGAGTAATCTCTATCCAAGGGATGGAATGTTCTCCATGTATCCAGGAACTCATGATCTAGGAGTGTGTCACCCATGATCTTGGCAGAACGAGCTCTTTGCTTAGATGTTGTCTTTTTGACTTTGTCGGCAGAGGTGGTATCGAGGTTTGGGTCAAGGAGGAAGTTTGTGTCTCCACCTATTATAATATCGCCAAACATATGTGCAACTGTTAGGGTGAATATCTTGTCCAGAAAGGTCTGCTGGTCCGTGTGTGGGCCATATACATTAACGAGAGTGAATTGGGCATTATTAATTACACATTGTAAAATAAGATACCTCCCTTTCCCGCCACCTATTCTTTATATCAATTGAAAGGATACATCTTTGCTTATCAATACTGTCACTCCTCTCTTTTTTGATTTATAAGTGCTGTGAAAGACCAGTGGGAAGTGTCTAGAAGAAAACCTCGGCTGGAAATGAGTTTTAGAGGAATTAAGATAACGAGAGAAGATATGACTTTGTATACACTATCATATCTCCTCTCGTTATCTTAATTCCTCTATAGGATCTAGCTCCCCCAGCTCTAGTCTAATTATACTTTTGTTGTATGTAACTTTTTTAGACATTTAGTAGATCTGTACTTTGGGTGGCGTTTTTGATCCTTTATTTATATCCTTGTTTTTCATTTGGCACCTGAGCTTATGGATTTTCTCCATCTCGGTTGCCTATGTATTGTATTTTATTTCATATTTTATATTCTTTTCACCAGCTCACATTTTACTGGTTTAAATCCTACTCGGGGCGATGCCCTCTTAACTTTGACATTTTACCTATGACATCACTACCTTTCCTTTTTTCCTCATTCTTACTCTCCAATCAGAATTCGATCTCACTATATTTAAACTCGGACTTTTCCTGCTTTTCACTGTCTTGATAAAAGTCCTTCGGGGACTGAAACGTCGACTTGATCGTTTTGAAAATTCTACACGTTTGTTAATAAACCAAGTATATTTTTTTCAAAGAAGACCTCTTGAATGCATTCTTTTTTCACTGGTATATATATATATATATATATGTATATATAATTCTTTTTAATTATTTGTATTTATATATTGGTATATATGTATACATGTATATAGATATATATATTATTTCATTCTAAGTTTATTTTACACACGTATATATATATATGTAAAAATTTTACATAATTAGGTCATTTTATTAATTACAATTTGCGGGACCTCCCTGACAACCCAGGCCAAAAGTCCAGGGAATTTAATTTGCTAGCACTATATTTAACCCTGTAACTTTCTAAGACACCATAAACCTGTACATGGGGGGTACTGTTTTACTTGGAAGACTTTGCTGAACGCAAATATTAGTGTTTCAAAACAGTAAAATGTATTACAACGATGATATCGTCAGTGAAAGTGACATTTTTTGCATTTTTCACACACAAATGGCACTTATACGGACGATATAATTGTGATACGTTTTAATGTTTTGAAACACTAATATATTTGTGTTCAGAGAAGTCTCCTGAGTATAACAGTGCCCCTCATGTACAGGTTTTATGGTGGTTTCAAAAGTTACAGAGTCAAATATAAGGCTTGTGTTTCAGTTTTTTCACAATAAAATTGGTTACGTTGCCTTTGAGACCATATGGTAGCCCAGGAATAAAAATTACCCCCATGATGGCTTACCATTTGCAAAAGTAGACAACCCAAGGTATTGCAAATGGGATATGTCCAGTCTTTTTTAGTAGCCACTTGGTCACAAACACTGGCCAAAGTTAGTGTTAATATTTGTTTGTGTGTGAAAAATGCAAAAAACTGATTTGAACGCCAATTTTGGCCAGTGTTTGTGACTAAGTGGATACTAAAAAAGACTAGACATACCCCATTTGCAATACCTTGGGTTGTCTACTTTTGCAAATGGTAAGTCATCATGGGGGTAATTCTTCCTGGGCTACCATGCAGTCTCAAAGGCAACTAACCAATCTGCGAATTTCAATGTGAAAACACTGAAAAATGTAACATGCTATATTTGACCCTGTAACTTCCCAAAACACCATAAAACCTATACATAGGGGGTACAGTTTTACAAGTGAGCCATCGCTGAATACAAATATGTGTATTTTATTGCAGTAAAAGCAAACAGATATTATGACATTCACAGTTAAAATGTCATGTAGAACTAAACATTTTTTTAATTCTTATTTTCTCCCTTTTTTATATTTTATTCATATTAAATTATGTTTTATACCTAAATATGTGATGTTAAATGAAAAGCCTGTTTCTCCTGAATACAATTATATATAATAAGTGTGTGTGCACATAATATGAAAGAGGTGAATTACGCCTGAATAGACATATAGCGCAATTTAAAGTTTTTTTTTACGTTTTGTTTTGATCACAACGTGTACATTTGGCTCAGTCCTTAATGGGTTAATAATTCTCACAGCTCTCTAACAACCTGTTTTGACTCATCTAGTATTTGGCCTAAAAAAGCTAAAAATGAAGAGTTAGTCCTTCTTCTATTTAAAAAAAAATCTATTTATTTATTAAACATTTTATCATGAACGATACATTGAGATTTCTCTAGTTTTCAATTAAGTCTTGGGTGTATGTATCTACCAAGGAAAATAAATCCATTATCAAAATAAGCACCATAAGTAAAAGTAGGGGGCAATTCCAAAGTGATAAAAACAGTTACAACAGAAAAAGAAAGAGTTGGTGTGGGTGATAGATAAACAATTTTTATTATAATTATAAAGTTGAAAATCATACTTTAATTAAAACCTTTCCACGATTCTTTTCACCATAAAAAAAATCAAAACCTTGTATTATTGGACTTAACATTTTTTATTCTTGATAAAGGATCTCCTCCGTTACTCAAAAATTATCAAATGATAGGTTACTTCCAAACTTATTTACATAAAGAAAATGCAAACGCAAAAGAAAAACATTATGCTCACAGATAGCCACCAGGTGGCAGTGTTGTTTTTCTCTGGTACATCTGTCTAGAAACATAGAAACATAGAATGTGATGGCAGATAAGAACCATTCGGCCCATCTAGTCTGCCCAATTTTCTAAATACTTTCATTAGTTCCTGGCCTAATCTTATAGCTAGGATAGCCTTATGCTTAAACACCTTCACTGTGTTAACCTCTATTACTTCAGCTAGAAGGCTATTCCATGCATCCACTACCCTCTCAGTAAAGTAATACTTCCTGATATTATTTTTAAACCTTTGCCTCTCTAATTTTAAACTGTGTCCTCTTCTTGTGGTAGTGTTTCTTCTTTTAAATATAGTATCCTCCTTTATTGTGTTGATTCCCTTTATGTATTTAAATGTTTCTATCATTTACCCCCTGTCTTATACATGTTAAGATCCTTTACCTTTCCTTGTAAGTTTTATCCTGCAATCCATGAACCAGTTTAGTAGCCCTTCTCTGAACTCTCTCTAAAGTATCAATATTCTTCTGGAGATACGGTCTCCAGTACTGCGTACAATACTCCAAATGACGTCTCACCAGTGTTCTGTTCAATGGCATGAGCACTTCCCTCTTTCAACTGCTAATACCTCTCCCTATACAAGCAAGCATTGTGCTAGCATTTCCTGCTGCTCTATTACACGGTTTGCCTAACTTTAAGTCATCTGCCTACAGAAGGAAATAATAAAGATATACATTCTACAATATATCAATGTTCCCCAAGGTGGTGTCTAAAACCTTGTGTAATTAAATCTGTCTCAAATTACAAAGTCTCCAATATGGAACCCAGCAAATAGTCAAAAAGAATTGCAAACTCAAATGTCTCCCTATGCATAGTGTATTTATAGCAAAAAGAATTTGGTGACTAAGTCTATCCCATAATTCATTTATGTCTAGACTATTAATTCAGCTACCTCTGTGGAAACATCTGAAAATGTTAATTGAATTACTACAAATACCAAACAAGACTGGTACTGAATAAATATACAAATACAGTTAATAAATTCAGAACTTTAAGCTAGCTACCCAACATCACACATATAAGATACCTTATAGAACATAACATATTCGGACTTTTGTAATACGTTATTAAGTGGCCAAGAAACAAAGTTGCTGGACAACCTATTGTTTTTTTTAATATTATTATTATGCCAGTTTGTTCAAGCGTCTATAAAAACCATCAATTGGTGATTGTCAGGATATATCTTATCCAGCATGCAGAATTGTGTCACACCTAGGACTAAAGGTAACGTCTTACCGGGCCTTAGAATGGCCGGACTTAACGTACTAGAGAATAGTCAAAATACTTGCCGAGGTCTGGGACACAGAACGTGACACAACGATGAGGAAAACCACAAGTCAAGAATACCAGAAATCAGGGAAGACAAAAAAAAAAGCCAAAGTTAAATACCAGAAAAAACACGATCAGGAACACACTCTCGGATAACCAGCTAGTGGAAACCACGACAGGGCACTGACCAAAGGGTGATTTGGGTTTAAATAACCCTCTTTAAGCTGTAATTGGTTGTCACTGGCCTCTGACCATAAAACGTGAGTTTCCTATTAAAACTGGAACCACAGTGGCCAGCTTCTCTAGGAACGTCATATTCGCTGGGGACCGGAAAGAGCGGTTTGCCACGACCCAGGTAAGTATACAATATCTCTGTCGGTGGGGCTGCTTAGTTTATGTGCGGCAATGCCGGTAGAAGAATAGGGAGCCGTGACAGTTGACAAACTACACTTTAAACCGAAAATAGATTTTTTGAAAATATTTCATTAATTTATTTTTTATTCGCAGCAATTTGCTTGGGCATTGCCCCAAGTGTCACAATAGCAGAGTCCCACCAGTTTGCAACTTAATTATAATTTTTGTTTTACTGCTGTTTTTAATATATTTGTTTGTAATATAGTAGTTAAATGCATTTTTTTTTAAATAACAGAAGAAAAGTATGACAAGGAAGATAAGTCAAGTATATTAGAATTTCAGTGTTTTGAATGTTCTGAATGTGTTTCTTTATGAACCTTTTTAAAATATTTTAATAAATGTTTAATATTATTTGTATTTTTTTGTATCTTTATGAAATGCTCAAATCAGTTTTGGTGACAGTGCAACTTTAATGATAAAGCTTTTACTGTTGTTTTGAACGTTTGATATCTTTTGTAACCAGCTGTAAAATATGTTTTAATAACAGGTGAAAAACACGACGAGGATAAATCAGGTATATTAGATATGTCATATATGTAAACAGTTAAATATAATGACACAGTTTTTATTTGCCTTACTAGTAATACTGCCTACAATATGATACATAAGTGTGGAATGTGGAGTGTTGTAGCAACAGATTTCTCCAAGACTTACAGAAGCAACATTTATAAAAATAAATATTTTATTTATTTAGTAGATAACTATCCAATTTTCGATCATCATGAGGGATTGCCATATTAAGGATACCAAATAAAGGAACTATTTATGAAACAGAATCATCCTTAATTTGAAAATCATACTTTAATTAAAACCTTTCCACGATTCTTTTCACCATAAAAAAATCAAAACCTTGTATTATTGGACTTAACATTTTTTATTCTTGATAAAGGATCTCATCCGTTACTCAAAAATTATCAAATGATAGGTTGCTTCCAAACTTATTTAAATAAAGAAAATGCAAACGCAAAAGAAAAACATTATGCTCACAGATAGCCACCAGGTGGCAGTGTTGTTTTTCTCTGGTACATCTGTCTAGAAACATAGAAACATAGAATGTGATGGCAGATCTTACATAAGGGTACCAGTTTAGGTATTTATCTACTAAACAGATAAAAGAAAAAATGTTTCTGAATTTTGAAAATTCACCTAATCAGTGGATAATTTCCTAATTTGCTATGTGGGATAGTCATATTTAAATATACCATATTATTGAGGGATCTACTAAAAACATTCACATACATACACATAATCACAGACATACATGGTTTTTATTCAAGGGGTCATCCTGCCTCCCTGCCTGTTTCTGGGAGAACTGGAGTGAATAATGTCGCTAGAGATAAATGGGGCTTCTGAGCTCTTCCTACACAGTTCCCATCTTAACCTTGTAGTCATACCAATCCTAGGGTAATGTCAAATCCTGGCTGCCTGCACACTACAGGGTGAAAGTGTCTACAGTATTTGACTAATTGGACAGATAAACAAGATGCCCTAATGTCTTCACATGCCCAGTTGTCATTAATAGCTTTTACTGACAACCAACAAGGGGAAGGGAACATTTCAAAACTGTAGCCATTAAACAGACACAATTAGCATGTTTTTTTCATCATTATCTCTTAATGGTGTATGTTTAGAATTTTGTTTAATGAAAATATTTAATTTAAAAAAAAATATCAGCAAAATACACTTTAACCCTGACAGTAGACATTTTGAAAATATTTCATTAATTTATTTTTTTATTCACAACTATTTGCTTGGGCATTGCCCAAAGTGTCCCTAAAGATGAGTCCCACCAGTTTGCAACTTAATTATATATATATATTACTGCTGTTTTAAATATATTTGTTTGCAATATAGTAGTTAAATGTATTCTTTGTGTTTTTTTTAAATAACAGGAGAAAAGCATGACAAGAAAGATAAGTCAAGTATGTTAGACTTTCAACGTTTTGAATGTTATGAATGTGGTTTTTTTATGAACAAAATTTTTTTAATATTTTAATAAATGTTTAATATTATGTGTATATTTTTGTATGTTTATGAAATGCTCAAAACAGTTTTGGTTACAGTGCAACTTTAATGATAATGCTTTTACTGTTGTTTTGAATGTTTGATATCTTTTGTAACCAGTTGTAAAATATGTTTTAATAACAGGTGAAAAACACGACGAGGATAAATTAGGTATGTTAGATATGTCATATTGGTAAAATGTTGACTATAATGAAACAGTTTTTATTTGCCTCACCAGTAATACTGCCTGCAATATGCTACATAAGTGTGGAATGTG